TTTTTTTTTTTTTTTTTTTTTTTTTTTTTTTTTATCAATTACATTCAAATATCATAAAAACGTTCTCCTGTGCATTTATATATCGTATGTTAATACATTACTATTTAACAACTAATTACAGTAATTACGCACGAATAAATATTAAATGAATTTTCATGTAATAAAGTATTCATTCAACTTTACACAATTTTGGTGCAAAATAATTTACTACGAACTTTGTCATTAATAAATGTGTGTCAATAAATCAGTGTTAACGTTAAAAACATAAAAAAAAAAATTGTTTTGCATTATGAAATTCAGAATTTTTTACTGCTAATTTCACGCGAAAAATCATATTTTCCAAAGCTATAATTGTATCGATTGAATGAAAAACAAAAAAAAAAAAAACAAAAAAAAAACAAAAAAACAAAAACAAATTGAAAACAACACGAATATATAACAAGTATATTCGATATATTTGTTATCTATTTGAATTATTGATATTATTTTAGATATTGGAAATTATTAGGAAATACAGCTTCAAGTTTAATTATACGAAAAGATTTGCAAATTGGATGAAATAGAAACGATAATGAAAAGAGAGAGAGAGAGAGAGAGAGAGAGAGAGAGAGAGAAACATTGCAATAATACGGGATTGTAAGACTCCAATGGCACATTATTATTACAACATATTAAGGCAGAAATAACATATTATTATTTCTTATGAAAAAAGGCCACACTACGAATTGTTATGCTGCGCCACGGATTACGGAAGCAGCATTGAAGATCTTGGCTCGCCGGGTGTCTCGCCTTTACCTGGATACTACAGTGCTGCTGAGCAGAGTCCCATCATGTCGAGTGGCGGTGGAGGTGTTCAAAAAGGTCGACCCAGGAAGCGGAAATTATCGGAGGTTGCGGGTTCCGAGTTACCGGTTACTATGAGACTGGCAGCAGGTGCTCTTGGTATGTGCACTCGTCTTTTTCTCTGAAAGTACTAATTGCTCGATAAATGTATACCAATCCATGCTAACGAATCACGTATGGGAAATTTTATATTCTTATGGCTGAGAGTGCAATGTTTATAAAGAAATGTGACGCAATTAGCGCGTCATATGAATTAAATGTTAGATATCGTAGATTGGATTTAATTGCATGAAAAATCATTAATTTTACAGGGATGTAATAGTAATTATGTCTGTCCGATGCAGTCATAATTACAATAATAATTAGTAGAATCGTAATTGGTAAGCATTAATATAGCACTAGTATCGGCAATTAATTATGTGTATAAAACATATTATACAGGTGCTTAATAATAAGCGTATATTAATAATTATTACACTCGAGCATTAAACAAGTGGATTTATTTCAAGATAAATTCTATTCTCGCATTCGAGAATAATTTTGTAAAATAATCATTATTCGATAATTGGCTTGGGACTATTTTTATATAAAGCATCCGTATTAATAATGGCCGGCAAATTAATTTGTAAGAATTAATAATGCAAAGCACGCGAATTCGATAATCAAACTATCATCCTTATTCTGAAATTAAAACCAAAGTCTCATTAACATTTAGCAAAAAAAATGCGCATTTGGTAAATGTATGCATGCATTTTTGTGATGAAAATTCAGGAAAGCCATTGGGCAATGCAAAAAAAATCGTAAAATTCCATTTTTTTTTTGTACAAGTAGAAGAAATTTAATATAGAATCATAAACGTATGCGGAGACGGTCACAGGTAAAAACGCCACCGCCACGTAGGAAAGCCGCTACCTCTTGTCAACTCGACATTTTTCCACGTCGCTCTCCATCCTTCTATCGCCTTTTCCTTTTTTCTCTCGGCCGCATAATAATCGAACGGCCGCCATTTCTACTCCTCTCTCAAGGAAAGGCACCTTACATACATACGCACATAAGCGCGCTTACGGCGGTGAGGTACGAGAAAGGTAAAAGACGGTTGGCCAATCGATCATCGTGTTCGAGAGCAGCGCGTAATGACGAGGAGAGGTAAACGCACACGTCGTAACACATTGCCGTACAGGTGCTCCCTTTCTCGTATCCCCTATACACGGCATTATCTCGCGGCGCAACGAGGAGCGAGAGCGACGATTGCATGTGCTATTTCTTGTGGCTTGAGCCGCGGCGAACCAATGTAAGGCAGTTTTACGTATTGGAATCGGGAAGATATGGCTCGTTTTCGTAAGAGCGAGCGATTTTTGCTCGGCTTTTTCCATTAATGACATTTGGCTCGAGCTGTTTTTCGGCATGTTCGTCGAGCATGCTTTAACGGGAAAATCCTTAATTGACGAATCTGTCGTGAGAATATTAAGTATCTACGAGATGATAAGGAATCACGAATGGAGTAATTTTCCATCCTAGCTTGGATTAGCACATTCTTAACGTAGTTTTAATAAGTAACTGTTGATAGTATCGACAGTAAGAGTAATTCGTTACTCCATGTACTCCATGTAAATTAAAACTTAGCTGATTTTTAACTATTAGTTGGTAATCGGTAATGGTAAGTATTATTTAAATGCACAAATAATACCCAATACAACAACATTGGAATAAGCATCGAACAAAGTTGCTATTTACTATTCGCTAGAAAGTCAATCAGATTTGAAATATTATTAAATATGAATATTTAGAGAATATTAAAATGAATTGTTGGAACACTGTATATTATTCAGAGACATATATTTATAATTTCTATCGAACATAAAGAAAAAAAAAAACTAACTAATCGTTAAGCGAAAAATTGGCTTTAATAATAAATAAGGGAGAAAATTTAAATTAAAAAGCAATAATTGTTATGATATAAATAATAATTTAGAGCTTTATGTCTTTTAGACAATGGGTTACAACAATAATTTTGTATATCACTATAATTTTTTATCCACTCGACAAGTATTATAAAGCTCTATCAATTTCACCCCAAAACTAGAAGTTTACCATACCATTAATTGTAAAAGAAACACATTCCGCTAATATATCGTTACATTAAACTGTAAGTTTAATTTATTATTTTAATGAAGAAATAAATGAAATAAGAAATTTAGCGGTTAAAAAATCTCTCAATAACTTTTCATACCAAGGAGTGAGAAAAATTATTGTGCGATAGTGCAAAGTTGTCCAAAAATTTTTCGCTTTCGCTTATGTGTACGCATGCGCGTATATGACAGTATTCTGGAGCAATCGAGAATACAAGAGAGAGAGAGAGAGAGAGAGAGAGAGAGAGAGAGAGAGAGACGTAAAGGTACAGAGAAAGATGGAGAGACAGAGTGGGATAAAGAGGTTGAGGCAGCGAGAGAAATGAGAGAGAGAGAGAAAGACATGAGAGGAAAGAGCGGCCATCCCGGTCTCGGAGAGCACGCATTGGTCCACGGCGGCATTCTTTTCCGCACGCGAGTCGACCAATCGATGCATCTCGCCGCCGATACCCATCTATCAATGTCCATGCCGCCGCTTTCACGGCCACTTACGCTTCACTTTTCCCCATTCTTCCTTCCTCTCATCCTTTTCGAATCATCGATTGTTTCTTTCTCTTTCTATCTCTATCTCTCTCCCCCATCTCTTATTTTCTTATTTTTCATTTATTTAAAGATTCACAGTGTATATATTATGTCTGCATCCTGGTGTATTTTAATCTTTCAAAATCAAAGATGCATAGACATTTTATTCCACATAATATAATAAGTTTCATTAAAAAAAATAGCTCAAAGTAGCTTTTTTCTCACCTATTATTGCAACTGGTCATTTTGAGTTCGGGCTTTGGATTTGAAAATATTCTAAATTTATAAATATGTTTTTGTTTTATAAAGAATCTTAATATTATTATTAAGATATTTTCAATTCATATTATCATCATCCTTAATATTCTGATCGCGTTGTATTTAATTTTTAAGTTGAAAATTTTTTAAGCTTCCTATTATTTAATGATAGCTACAATGAATCGCAATAAATTCTTAATTATTATTTTTTTTTTAATTATCGTATGTAATTGCAAAGTAACGAATTAAAATTTTAAATCTTTATTTGTATAAAAGTCTAATAAATATCGTCAATGTAAGAAAAAATCTTGACAAATATCGTTACTCGAGCAAATTAATTTCAATCATTGTGCGCTTAGCTTTATTCGAATTTAATATAAAATTCTCATTTCAAGTAAATATTTATTCTTTATTCAAGGATAACAATAATTCAATTTTTAATGTATTTTTGGCTCGAATGTACATATGCATATTTATTGAGGAATACTATTTTCTTAACAATTCTGGAGACATCGATCTATCTGAAAAAGGAAATTTTTACAATGAGGCCATTACAATTGCTGATATTTCTTGTAACTGTATTTTCTATACAGCGCATGAATGTGAAAAAAGTGCGTGCGTAGGTGCATCTATTGCGACCGGGATGAGGGCTCGGGATGGCAGAAATACAGCAGAGATAGAAAAACGCTTTTAGCTGGAAAAGTAAATGATGATTTTGAAATAAATTATGCATTTTTTGCATTATCGTTAAAATAGAAATTCAAAATGTTCGATTATAAGATATTATACAGTTAGTTTTAGATATTATACAGATATTATATTATACAAGATATTATACAAGTATTATAATACTTAATAATGCTATTGATTTTCAAATGGAAAAGATCGCTAACGCCTTCGTTACTACCAATGTTTTTAATATTTGGCAAAACTCAAGATGGCCGCGTTATTGCCTAGAATTACACAATCCAACTGTTTACCGTAAACACTGATATACAAAATATCCAAATGGCAATATTTTCTCGTCCTTACCGAGAATCTTCAATTCTATACGGCAAGCATTAAACAACGACTGTCAATTTTCTTGCGACAGCCAGGAAAAACGCTTCAAAAGCCGCCCCTATAAGAGATTCCCGCAACGCGGCCACTTTATAATCGGTAGCCGCGCTATTTGACGAGGTAAGAAGCAAGAAGAGGGATTTACGAGAGAGCGCGTAAGAACGGACTCTCGCACAATGGTTACTACGTGACGCATTTCCGTCTTGCTGTTTTTGTATATAATTGGCAGAGTTTTTTTGTCTCGCGCTCCGTCCTGAAGGACATTTGTGCGTGCCGCCGTCAAACGACGCGTCGCGTCGTCCTGCATTCTGTTCGATCTTCTTTCTATCTCGTTCTTACATGTCGACTTACCCTAGAGATTCAAAACGATAGGAATGCGCATGCGCGAGGGCCGCTCATGTAAGTAACATGAATTTTCTTCATTGCCACTGGTTGTAGTATTTTCATTCGAACTTTGTTAATTTATTCACCTGTATATATATATATATATATATATATATATATATATCAAATGAATATTAATTCATGACTGAATATTTATCAATGAATTACATTTGTTGATTTCAATATCGAATTCATTAATATTATTATCAAGACATTTATATTGGTTAATAAGTATTTTAATTCATAATTTTAATCGATCAAGCGAATTTTGTACTTTTAAAACTAAAAATAAATAAAATTATTATAGTAATTCTATTGTTTTTCCATTCAAGTAAAATATATTATTTAATCGATTAGAGTAATTGGCAAATAACAATGATTCATGACAACGACAATGAGTCAATGACTAATAACTGTATAAAATATTATTTATTGGGTGCTAAAAGACAATGCAATTAAATATTTTATTAAATATTTATCATACATTTATCCAAGTTAAGTACTTATTTTTAGGAAACATAATTTGGGGCACAATCATTAAATTTAAATGATTATTTATAATTTATATGTACATAATAATGCGTACAATTTTTGCAAGAAAACTATTTCGTTTTATAATTTGAATTTAATTTTATATTTTTGAATGAAACTATACAGGAAATTAAATTTAAATATCTCTCTATCTATTATGGTGTTTCAACATTTTTCCATTATCTTTCTCAATCATAATATTCGTATAAGTCAGTGTTAAAGAAAAACTTGTTACAACTACTACTATAATAAAATTATAGAGAAATTTTAATATGATGAATTTATAAAGATATAATTAAAATGCACCGAGATGCATAGATTTTATGAAAAAGAAAATTTGACGATATTAATATATAGAAAATTTGGATAACAGAATGACTATTTAGAACATCATCGACTTGACATTTTATATAAGAATAAAAGAGTAAGGCAGATGTAGTGACCGGACCGATTAGAAAATGAAAAATAGTTATAAAAAGTAAAAATTTAGAATAATGAAGTTTTATTGCATAAGAAATTTTTCTTTAATTCTTAAATCATAAAATTAAATTTTGAGTTTATTATTTCAAATATTGAGCAATATAACGAATTTTAGCTTTAAACAATTACTTATTTTAAAATGATAATTGTCGTTAATAAACTATGTGGTTGGATATTTTTAATGATTTTAACGTTATTATTTATTTCCTTAAAGTACACATTCAAAGTTATATCAAATTTTCTCTATTTAATAATTTAGCTTTAATGCTAATTCATAAGAATATTTTCTATAATAAATTTCTCGCAAAATATGAATATAAAATATTCACAAATTCGTTTCAGTAATTCTTGAATTTATTCAATTACGAATAATAATTGATTGGGCATAGTAACGCAAATGTCCCAGTAATATAAAATAATTTTTTAAATTATTGTAGCATATTTTTCTACTCTTATCTAATTAGAAATAAAAAAAAAAATATTTTACAAACTCAAAGGCTTATGATAAGTAAATAAGAATAAGTAAATAGAACAGTTTTTAAGTGTACAATGAAATGAGAACAATTAATGGGGTTAGACTGTTTTGGTCCAGTGATTATATTCTTATGAATATTTGCTAGACGCGGACAATTATACCACTTGTATGCTTGAGTGGGCAAATAATAAGTTACATTGAATTTGTCCTCCATTGCTCCAAACAGCCGACACAACTATTATTCCAAAGTGCATGCATGTTTACTTTATTTTTTATTCTAATGAAAGCAATCATTTATAATAAAATATCAGTTGTATTTGAATTGAATAACTCAAAATTACCCATGATTCACTTATTTATACCAACTAATACAATAACTGAGCGATTATTAGAGTTGGAGTATTTTATATTAATCGTGATATATTAATTGTGTATTTTGTGTAAATTTAGTCATTTTGTGTGTGTGTGTGTGTGTGTGTGTGTGTGTGTGTGTGTGTGTGTGTGTGTGTAAAATCAAGGCTTCCCGATTAACTAGTTTTCTGGAAAATTGGAGGAGAAAAAATTATATAATACGACACAATGAGTTGATTAAAAAAAAATTCAATTCTTCTTCGAAATTGAATTTTATGGCAGCTTTTTTAGATTGAAAATATTTTATGACAAAATTAATGAAAGAATAAATAAATAACAATTTCTATAATAATAAATTGTTACGCTGCTAATATGTACTACGAAGAAGTATAATTTTTTTGCACATATAAAAAATCAATATTATTTTATAATTTTTAATGTTGTAGAATTGCTTCATCCTACGGAACTTTCTTCATCAATGGAATCTTTAGCTGCGTATGATGCATCAGTGGGTTCTCCGAGTGGCCCAGTACATCAAAGTCAACGTACCAAACGCATGCGTACTAGTTTCAAACATCATCAACTTCGTACAATGAAGAGTTACTTTGCCATTAATCAGAATCCCGATGCCAAGGATCTTAAACAACTGGCGCAAAAAACTGGATTATCCAAGAGGGTACTACAGGTGTGGATACCATTCATTTACTTATGTGCATTTCCAATTGTTATATATTAATTATAAATATTATAAATGTTATAGATGCTTAGAAAATAACGCTTCAATAAATATTTTGTGATATACTTTCACATATATATATATATATATATATATATATATATATATATATACACACATATTAATATTAAAACATTTCATTTTATTTCTTTTATTTATAACGTTTTTGAACTTCAACATATTGTAGTTTTAGAAATATTAGAATGTTCTAAATAAATAAATGTAAATTTGTTTCTCTTAATTTTTACGGATGTAAATTAATAAAATATTAAAAATATTTTATGTGCCGTATAAAGAAATCATTATCAATAAATATTAATATCGATTGCTTTCCATTAATAATGATTATGCCATACTTGGTTTTCATTGCCAAAGATATAAGTAATATAAGTAAAGAAACAAGAATTCAAACTATTAATAGGCAATTCGAATGTGATTATCGGCAATATCTTTCTTAGCAAACCGCGTGAATGTCTTTGACGTACTTTCAATAGACAAACGTTAATTAAGGTCGTTAAAAAAAAAAAAAAAAAAAAAAAAAAAATTTTTTATCCCTAGGTTTGGTTTCAAAACGCCCGAGCGAAGTGGCGTCGCAACATGATGCGCCAAGAAAGCGGTGGTGGAAGTACTGGTGGTGGCGGCACTGGTGGCGGCGGCGGTGGCGGCATCGGCACTGGGGGCGGTGGCAACATCGGCGGCTGCCCCGGAACACCGGCCTCCTCGAGCACGGGTGGCGGTTCACCCGGCGTCCTCGGCGCGGGCAACGCCAGTCTCCTTGGCGACAGTAACAGCATGCCCTCTACCTCAATGGAGGAGCTTCATGCACTCCATCACTTACACTCTTCGCAAGTCTCGTTCTCCGACCTCTACTGACGCACATTTCGTGTCGACAAAGCCAACGACAACAACCGCGACTTTGTTGGCTGAAACGAGCGCTTGTCCTGGGCACGTATTCTTGTGTATGTCGAGTAGCTTTCATATTGTAGTTTACTTATACAGCCAATACTTTTGACATTTTTCAATATTCTCACTTTTTGATAATTTATTATGAAATTTTATGATAGTAAAACCTATATGCTTCTAAATTTTATATATGATTCGTCCATGTAATTTGAGCATAGTCCGTCGATATATTTCGATCGAAAATTTTACACATTTTCTACCTACTCTTCCTTAAAACATTGGCTATGAATTTTTTTTTTTAATTTCAATTTATTTATCTCTATGCTATGCTTATGAATTTCTCTGCTCCAAAACTAATAGAGGTTTACTAGAGAATTTAAAAAAGACTGATAATTAATGAGGTACGCAATGAATTTTGTCCTATTATTATAAATTCGTGGCAGCTAAAATATTAAATGCCATTAATTACTACCATCACCAGTATTAGTTAACGTTTTTGAATTATTCCAAGAGTTTAATTTTATCGTTATTAGTAAAAATTACTGTCAATATAAGCATAAAAAGATTTAATGAAAAATAAGCGCATTCAACTAATTTAATGATTTCAAAAAATTCAATCAATTATAATAAAAGCACATTTTTCAGAGACTTCCAATCTTTAGGGGGTCGGAGTTCTATCGTATTTTTAGTGATCATTTAAATCAAAAATAATTCTTTCGGTAAACTGAAATCGAATGTACTTAACAATTTATTTCAAATATATATATATATATATATATATATATATATATATATATATAGGATAATTAAAATACTTAATAAAATAATATGCAAGCTCTATTTCGCTAAGTATTTTCATACGTAGAGCTTTAACAATGTATATGCCTCGGTTCTGTAGTGATTGCCATGATGTTTCATGAAATACAGACTTTACGATTAATTGTAAAATCATTACTACAACTTGCTCGGATCATTGAATCGAACAAATTTATGAATATTGTGAAAAATATAAACCGAACTCAAGCTTACATAACGAACCTGCGTTTCTTCAAGGACATTCTCCTCGAGAATTCAAGTGATGATAAATATAGTTCCATGCATATCCGAATTACCAAAGGTTTAGATGATAGTTTCATAAGAATAAATGACGATAATCGTCAAACTGTAGATACTTTTTCTAATTATACTGGGATTTTTAGCAACGTGCCAATTTTACAAGCAAAATGTATGAACGAATTTAAAGTTTGGAAAATTGTAATACTTGTGCTCGATCATATTACTTCTAGTAATTATCCAAGTATGCAACCTGTACATCGAAATAAAAATCAAATGATATATTAATATGCATACATAAGGTGTTTGCCATCTATTAAACATCTATTTCATTTCATTTATCAATGTTGGCTTTCTGTAAATAAGTAGCAATATATTACTAAATTGAAACTGAAGATTAACTCTAATCATCGATATAAATTTGAGTAGACAAGAATGTGTGAATTTCTCACTTGAGAATATGAACGTGAAAATCATTTCAAAAATAATAAATGATACTTAATTGAACATTCGCATAATGTATAACAACATTATTTTATTATTTAATAATATTTAAACCACGTTGTTCTTCCAAAACAAATATGAGATACACTTTTGTAATGATTGTTCGAATTTTCGTATATCTTACTAATAATTTACTAAATTCGAATATAAATATTAATAGATTTGTTCGCTTTACTAAGTTTTGTATTTATTTATAATAAGTATCAATTTGTAAATTGTTATATTTTAATTAAATTATAATTTAAATGTTTATGGATGTATTTTTATTTTCAATAAACGTAAATTTTAGAAAAACATTATGTGCAATATATTTAAATATTCATCATTTAAATATTATTAAAATTATGTGTGTGCGTGCGTGCGTGCGTGTGTGTGCGTGTGTGTGTGTGTGTGTGTGCGCGCGTGTGTGTCTGCGTGTGTGTGTGTGTGTGTGTGTGATTATGTTGACCAATGACTACTATTATATATATGTTTAAATCATATAAACTAAAACCTAATTGAATACATTATGTATTTAATAATATTAATATATAATACGAATTCTTTTTTAATAATCTTAAAAGATAATAATTTTATTTTTTATATAAATTTCAAATTATAACTATTATCGGTAGCTGAAACTATTCATTGTCATCTATACTTTTTAATTATACGTACCTGGAAAATTTATTGTTCCAACTTATTAAGATTTATGTATTATTTTCAGAATTTATTATTACATTTCTTCTTCGCGAATATGAAAAAATCATATATTATTATTATATTGTGAATATTCATTCAATGTCATAATTAACAAAACAGTCAGGAAAGGAAAATATTAAGAAATAAAAAAAATAAATATTTTAAAAGACATTGTAGTAGAAAAAGATAGAGAGAAAGTGCAACTGAGAAATGTAAATGAAGAAAGGAAATGAAAATGAAGAGAAAAAATGAAGAAAGGAAAAAGGAAAAGCGAGCGGTGAACCAAGTGGCTAATTAGCATCAAATTGGGTATTTAAATATTTTACGTTACGAACACAAGGAACAAGAAAGTGAGTTATCCTATACTTAGATTTCTTCCTCTTTCTCTCTCTCTCTCTCTCTCTCTCTCTCTCTCTCTCTCTCTGTAAATCGCTGTCAGCCAAGTCATATAGGTGCATTTCATTCCATAAGTTTTATCATGGAAAAAGAGGGAGAGAGAGAGAGAGAGAGAGAGAGAGAGACAGAAATTGGTATATGCATGTGTACCAGTCTAAGTCAGAGAGAGAAGAAAGAATATAGTCAAGAGAGTGGGTCATATATTTTGTCGGCGCTCGTATAAGTTAATTTTCAATCTATATGCGGCTCTATCGTCCTGCTGGACTCTCTTGAGGAACTCAGGACTAAAACATATGGAGAGACGATGAAGAACGAATGGATGCAGAGAAGGGAAATCTAGAAAAGGAGTGAAAAGAAAAAGAGCGAGAGAGGAAATAGTAAATGAGATCGTAATAAGGAAGGAGAGGAAACGTAAAAAATTACAATACATCTATATTTTTAAGAGTCAGACAGATTTAGAAGGACAGGTAGATATATAGAGAATTAGATAGATTAATAAATAGATAAATAAAGGGAGTAGGAAAAGGGAAGGAGAGAAAAAAAATGTAATGAAGAAATCAATATTCTCGTTAATATTTAATGACCTTGTAAATTGTATATAAGCATGCGCGAGTATAATATTTTTTAATATTTTATACCAAATCAATCAGTCATATTGGCCATTAAAGAGGCTTATAAAAAACAATAAAGTAACACATAAGCTTCGGTAAACTTAATTTGCCTGTGCATTATTTTTAAAAATATTATTTAATAAAAATGGAACTTTTTATTTTTTGTATTATGGCAACAAATTTTTAATAAATTTTTAATATTTCATATTTTTCATTTATTTCTATAGACTTCATTACTTAAGATTAACTTATCAATTGCATTAGATACTTCGCTATATTCGATAATGCATCATCTTCCAGGATTAAATGCTTAAGTATGTTTTTATAATGTGCAATATAATTTTTTATGAAATTTATGATTTATTTTTATAATATATTAAGGTTTTAGTAATTTGTAAAGCTTAATTGACGAAAATAGTGATTGATAAAAATTGAACGTCTCTTAACAAACGTTCAGATATAAATAAGAAGCGGTAGACCGTAAATAATAATAACTGTTAAAATGATAGATAGAACCAAAAAATAGAAATTAATATACCGAAGATCTTAATTAATATTCAGTTCCAACTGACATGAATCTTCTTAAATTCGTGGTTGAGTTCAATCAATTTTGCACATAATTGTTAACGCCGAATGTTACATTCTTCAATACAACATTCAATTGTAATTGATATTTACGAAGATTGTCAAGAATAATCGTATATGGGCATTAGATGTACTCATAGCTCGCGAAAAATCTAAAGTTACAAAGAGAGATTCAAGAAAAGTGATTATCCTTTAGTTTTGAAAAACCAAAAAATCAAAGTAAAAAGAATTGCGTTGTGCTGTTACTACTGCACCGTGGCCATTTCAGCGACGCAAGGAGAATGGCTGCACCATTCTCTTGATTTAAGAATATATTCGGCAAGAGAAAAAGTAAGACCGTCGATCGTCTTTTGTTCTGTCAAACGTCTTGCCAAGGAACGAGGAGAACCGCGCCCGTTTTCTGCCTTCCCCTTTCTGTCCCGTGTCTCCAACTCCCTACCATTCTTTATTTTCTCATGTGTATCCCCCTCCCTTGCCCCTCCTATCATTCATTTGCTCTCTATTCTTTTAACATTATTGTCTTTTGTAACTATTTTTATTATTCCATATTGTTTTTTTTTTTTTTTTTTTTTTTTTTTTTTTTTTTTTTTTTTTTTTTTTTTTTTTTTTTTTGTTATATGAGGTTAAATTCCAGCTGTCCTATTAGCATTCGCTTGTACTTTCTCATTCCACCGATTTTTAATTATTCATCAATACTTATTGTATTTCTTATCAAATTTCTAGTGTATTCAATCGACCATATCAATGCTGCTAATTTTTCGATGTTACTCTCCCTCTTAAACTCTCTCCTAAACAGATTATTTTATATATTATCTCATTTACTTTCATTGTCAATGAAATTATATTTCATTTTAATCCTATACCTTAAGTTACATTTAAGTATCTAAAAATCAATTTTTAAATTTGAGTTACTATTAATGTAAAATTATATTACTAATATATATTTTTTTTTTATACTTTGTAACTATTATAATATCGTTTCGAAATTGATTCTCATTAATAACGATCATATTCTATTTCAAAATATTTATTATATTGTTGATGAAATTACGTATGTGGAGATATTTTCCGTAGTAAGAAATCATTAGAATAAAAATATCAAAATTGTCAATAAGGCTTTTATAAAGTAAGTATTCTTACATTATATATATATATATATATATATAT